GACAAGAGAAGATGTAAGCACAAGGTGCAATGAGAGAACCACAAAGAGGTTCCCCAAGCCACAGGATCAGTAAGCCAGGATTCAAATCCTGGACTACTGGAATCTAAAGCTCAGCTCCGCCCACCACTCCAGCTGCACAGCTCCAGTTGTTAGGACCCTTAGTTATAGTCTGAGTTCTGAGGAGGGGCAGTAGTGCTTGCTACTGGCAGGGAATTTTTAAAAACAAGGAGAGGAAACTGGGAATTAAGATGCCATCACGCCCAGAAGACGAGATGATGGCGTCATCATAGTTACCAGGAGACACCTTCTGGGACAGGATTGATTCCAGGCCTAGAGGTGGCAATGGGTGGTGCTAGCTATGGGAGCTATCGGAGGCAGGAAACCACGCTGGTTCTTAGAGAGGCAGATTGGGACCCAAGAATGAAGGGTCTCAAAAATCAAATTAGGTTTGAGAGGAGAGGCACTGAGAATATGAGAATGAAATCAGACAATTGTTGGGCTGGAAGAACTTGCCCAATCTCTAGGATCACCAACTCCTTTTTGCTTCTGTTGCATTCAATAAATCCTGATAGGATTGTCTACCTTTTTGAAAAAACTCTTTTTCTTAAAAACATCCCCTTCTGCCAAAACCGGTTTGGCTCAATGGATAGAGCGTCGGCTTGGGGACTGAAGGGTCCTGGGTTCGATTCTGGTCAAGGGCATGTACCTTGGTTGCAGGCATATCCCCAGTAGGGGGTGTGCAAGAGGCAGCTGATCGATGACTCTCATCGATGTTTCCAACTCTCTATCTCTCTCCCTTCCTCTCTGTACAAAATCAATATATTTAAAAACAAACAAACAAACAAAAAAATCCCCTTCTTAGGACTGGATCTGAAGAGGCCTGGGCCCCCAATCTTTTCAGATGCTTTCCTCTGACTAGTGGTTGGGCAGCCCAAGCCAACCCTCCACAGTTGAAAAAGGTCTGTGAGCTGGGGCATGTGAATGACAACTCTCTCTGGAACGGTGGGTGAGGCGGGATGAAGTCAGAGGATCAGAGTTGGAAGGCGAGATCTAGAGAGGGGACAGAGAAGGCAGAGAGTGAAGCAGGTAGGGGAGGAAAGCCTCCCTGGCAGGTGGCTCCATTTGATTTCTGATTTAAAGGGGGAGGCTTAGATAGCCAAGAAGAAAAAGGCTAATAAGAAAAATATTAAACTGCAATGTGTGTTTCCCCAGGGACTTCCTGTTGCCATGACTGACCTCCTGGAGAGCGCCATTCGTTCCCGAGCATGGCAGCTTTATAGGCACTTGTAGGCCTGCAAAGAACACCAATTTGCTGCTGCAGTTTGTTTTGATAACTGAAACTTTCAATAAATCTATATTAAAATCAAAGGGAAAATTAACTAGGCCCTAGTGAGGGGCAGAGAGATAAGGGAGCACATTACCACCCTGGCCTCAGCCACCCCACATCCGTCTCTTAGTTCAGATTCAGGTCACTAGGGAGATGAATGGCTCAGGCTCATGGGGAACAGCCCTGGGGAGAGCAGGGCGAAGAAGACATGGCCAGGTCCAGCCCTCACTGCTCCTGGAGAAGCAGAGAGGTCTGTGGGAATAGGATGGGGGGTGAGGAAGTGGGGTGACGGTGGGAAGAATTGGAGAGAGGGGTAGGAGAGGGGCAAAAATAACAGAAATAGCCAATATTTTCTGAACTCCAGATACTGTGCTAAGCACCTTTGAATTTAATTCTAACTACAAGTAGGCACTAGTGTTATCTCCACTCTATAGATGAAGAAACTGAGCCTCCGAGAGGCATGTGACTCATCTAAGATCACAGAATGAGCCAAGGCTCAAACTTGAACAGACTCTCTCCGAACGCACTATGCTGTCTTTTGTGGCTTATAGGGACTGTGAATGGCAGAAGCAGTTTTTCTACTTCTCAGTTAAAAAACGGTTCAGAACCAGTTTGAGTTCTCTCGGCTGTGTCAAGTTTGGGGCCTGCCATGTACTGTCGTTGGGTCCTGGGTTTTCTGCCCCCCTTTGATTGCTGATTAAAGTCCCAGCTTTGATGGCTATCTTGCTGTTCTTCCTGGTGGTTTGACAGGGCAGTAGAAGAACCGACTTGGTCCTCTTTTTGGTCCCTGTTCTCAGTGTTCACTTTAGCTCAGTCACTTACATCAGCAGCCAGGAGGCTGCCCAGGATATATCTATGTCTGGGTATTGGGTTCAACTCATCAGCCTCCAAAATTCACTTGCCCTTTCTCCACCCCCAACCTTGGGTCTTGGCCACTTAATCTTTGGATAGTCCAGCTGCCACTACTGTCACTCATTTACTAACACATCTGGTTGTCTTTCTTTCTTTTTTTTCTTTTTTTTTTTTTTAATATTTTATTGATTTTTTACAAAGAGGAAGGGAGAGGGATAGAGAGCTAGAAACATCTATGAGAGAGAAACACCGACCAGCTGCCTCCTGTACACCCCATACCGGGGATGTGCCCACAACCAATGTACATGCCCTTGACTGGAATCAAACCTGGGACCCTTCAGTCCGCAGACAGATGCTCTATCCACTGTGCCAAACCGGTTTTGAAAGAGCCTCTAATGTACCCACTGTGGTAGGACTACAATGAAGCTCATTTGACCAGAGGCTGTGTATGGCTCCTCTCTCCATTTCTAGTCTCAGATGAACCACTGTGCTTTGGAATGTGGGATCTGGAACCCCCTGCGGCTACCTGAGTGGTGGGATAATAGAATCCTCTCTGAGAAGTGATGGTTCTACGTGGCCTGAATGACAAGGCAACTACCTGTGTTTTCTTTGAAGCTCTGGTCAACTTTATACTACCTCTATTTTCTTTCTCTCCTTCCCTGTCTCACTTCCCTTTTCCCTCTTACTCTTGCAGCCCTGAGATTATACTTTCTAATGAAGTCTTATCACAAAGACTTTGCTTCAGGCTCTGCTTTCTAGGAAACCAGAAAACAGAAAATCACAACAGTGTCAAAGGCTTGATGAAACCATATGCTGGGTTAGCAGCAGTATAAGGCACCAAGTGTAGAGTGAGCTTTTACACTATTCTGTTATTTGAATGTATTTCGCCTGGTCTTTAGCTAAAAAGAGCTTAGTCTGCTGAAGTCCTAGAAGGTATACAATTGAGCTCTAGAGCACAAAGGAGAAAAAAGCACATCCTGAGGGGAATTCAAGGTGGTCATGGAAAGTTCCATGGAGAATACTGGGGCTGGGCTTTAAAGAGAGTCTCCAACCCAGATAGTGCAAGTTTACTTCATTCTTAGACAAGAAGGTTGGCTGTGCCCTATTCTCAGGCCAGACTCGGGATATAATCAAGCCAGAGACAGGAGAGGCTATCTCCGGGCCGTTTATTTGTCTAATTTTATTTATCTACTTACTTATTTATTGTCTGTTTTTCCTCATCCTTCTCCTCTCCAATATAAAAGCTCCACGAGGATACAGGTTTTATATGTATTTTTCACCAATTAATCCTCAGCAACAGAAACAGTGCCTGAAACTTAGGAGAGGCCCTATAAATATATGTTGACTCACCAATCAACTGGGATTAATATTTAGATGACATTATGGAGGAAGACCTAATTCAGGAGATATAGGCAGATGTGCTTCCACTTTACTGACCTAGAGTTAAGTGACATTTGTCACTGCTGATGTTTATTCACCTCATTGGTCCACAAACATTTATTGAGTGCCTGGCACTGTGCTGGATATTACTGATAACAGCATGAACAATACTGAAATAATGCTTACCTTAAGGGAGTTTACAGTCCTGGGGGAGAGACAAAAAGGAAATAGACAATTGTCAAACAATGGGATGAAATGAATAGGTGCAGAGCCAAATAACCTAAGCCATTATGTGGGATTAAGAAAGGTATTCCCAGCTCAAGTGGGAACCATTATGTTAAGGTCAGATCTCAAAGGTGGCAGGGTCCAGAAATGACATGATTTCTTCTAAGTGAAAACATGCAGACAGCAGAGGGCTTGGTGACTGCAGCTAGGCCCAGGAGATGACTCCTACCTGTTTGGGAGGCTGTCAAAACCATCATTGGCTTGGTCCAGGCTGGGGTTTCCCAGCTCAGAACCTGGTAGTCTTGACTTCCCAGAGAGTCATCATCTGGATGAAAAAACACTTCTCTGGCTTTGGCCAGAGTACTCTCCAGTGGAAACTCTTCACTGTTGAGGGCAGAATCCTTTTAACCTGTAAGTTCCATCTGGAGCCGATCTGAACGAGAAAGGGCCCTTGAGAAATCTTAGGGAGAAAAAACTAAGCATTTTCTTCTTAGCCTAAACGCCCCTCTTCTCGGTTCTCCCTCCACACCCTGCTCACCACAGAGTGAATAGCAAGGACCTGTTGAATGAACAAATCATGAGAAGTTGTCATCCAAATATAACGTCACCTATGAGCCTATACTCGCCTTACAGAATATATTTTAAGTTGGGAAAACGGAAAGTGAACCTGGAGTCCGCTCTAGGCCTTGGAAAGTTTTTTTGTGTGTGTGTGTTTAAATTTCTTTCACAGTCGGAAAATGAGCCCCCCCTTCACTCTCTTGTGAGTACTTGCCACCTCAAAACTACAAGTCCCATAAAGCCAGCCTCCGGGAACCACCATCTTGGCATACCTTAGCGCGCATGTCGGCGGGAGAGTTAACATTCGGCGAGAAGAAGCCCCGCCCACTTGCACCCCCATTGGTCGAAGGAGCCGGTGGCGGGATCAGCGATTGGCCACTGCGCCCGTCCGTCCACCGCGTCGGCCGGGGTCAGAGTGCGCGGAGGTGAGTCGGTGTGTTGTGGACTCGTGGTGCTGGCTGCTGCTTTTGAGGCGGCCGGGATCGGGCGGTGGGGAGCGAGCGGAGCTGGCCCTGCCTCTGTCCGGCCGGCGCCACAGTCGGCGCGGGCCGCCCCCGCTGCCGCAAATTGCCCTGAGCGGCTGCTGAGGCCGAGGGAGACGTCGGGGCCTGCACCTGGAGGGAGCCTGCCGCGCTGGCCCCAAGGAGCGGGCGTTGCCATGGCGACAGCCTCTCCTGCTGCTGCTGACGGGGGGCGGGGGCGGCCCTGGGAAGGAGGGCTGGTCTCCTGGCCCCCTGCCCCTCCCCTTACTCTCCCCTGGACTTGGATGGGCCCGAGTTGGGGGCAACACCCTGCGGTGGGTGATAAGGAGAGGCTCCCCAGGGTGGGCCCTGGTTGATGCATGCGGGGTGAGAGGGTCGCGGCGCGCACCGTTGGTGCAGCTTGGGTGCGGGCCCATGTGCTCACCCTGGATGCGTGATCTACTGAGTAATGGTCAGGCGGAGAGGGCGTGGGGCAGGGCTCTGCCAGACTGGGGGAGGTGACTAAGGGTACTGGCTTCTTACGTGGGATTGATTACCAGGGAGGAGGAAGAGAGGTTTGACCAGAGAGGATAGAAAATGCAGCAAGGAGATAGTGGATAGAACGCCCCCTTTCCCCCTCCCCAACACCCACACAGACACGTAAGGTCAGTTTACCTCTTTGTAAATCTGGAGCGGTGGTAGTAGTGATGGTGGAAGGCGTGAATAAGGGGCCTACCTGGGCTAGCTTTCTGTTTGTTTTTCCTGCAAATGTTACAGCAACAGGTGCTTTCTTAAAACAAAAAAGCGTGAACTAGGATTGGGGGTTGGCTTCGAGTTCTTGCAAAATATAGCTGCTCCTGTTGATTTGGAAGATGCTGAATGTGGTCCCTCATTGGGGGGGTTTGGATTCTGCCCTTTGGGCTGGGTTTTGCAAATTGATGGTGTCTATCCTTGCCTCTATAGTTGTCTGGCATTAGCTCTAGTCAGACATTTTACCAGTCTGCCAGCTGAAGGGCAAAAAAACCACGAATCCTATTGGCCAAAGACTATGCACTATTTGAACTATAGTAGGTTGTGATTGGCTGAATGATTTTTTTTGACTGTAGAGTTTCTACTAGAAATTGGCTTCATCAAATTCTGCTTTATTCTGACTTTATCATACACAGCAGGCCTTGTTTTAGTGGGTTCGTGCCTGGAGCTTAAGTATATTATACCTGAATTCCCTACCTTTTAAAAGCCAATTTATAAACTGGGACTTGGAGTGTGACTCCGCTAATGTGTGTGTCTGTGATCTTGGTTAGAAACCCACTTGGCTGCCTTTCCTCAGAGAGGGGTGGGGTGGGGGAAGGGAGCTGCCGGGAAAGTGATTGATAAGGTTTCCTTTATGGATTCTGTGGTGCTTCACTGGAGCTCAGAGCACTTTGGCAACTTAAGCACTCCAAATTAAAAGCTCATTAACAATTCCCGCCCAAAGATCCTGTAAATAATCGGCTAGCTAGGTCATAGAGTTTGACTGAGAGCTCTCCTTCCAGCTTCCACCTCCACATAAAAGTCCTTTTACTCCTTTTCATCTTGAAAAGTGTTTTGTTTGTGGTGGGCTAAGTTGATGAGTGACATTTTCTCAGAGAATCTGAGTAGAATAAAGTCTAAAATGTGTATAGAGGGGTAGACAGGTATAGATGGGTTCCAAACCTAGGTGTTTCTTTGTGCAAAGGGCATTTTGCTAGCTTATACGGGCACCTCCTGCAACTTTTAGTCCTTTAGAAGATCTGAATTAGGTGGTAAATAACGATAGGTGTCCATTGATGATTTGATTTGGGATTTGGTTACCTTGACTTTCTATGAACTTGAGACAGCCCTGGAAGTATCCTGCAAGTGTTTCCTAGTTTATGTGGCTATTTGCAATGTGGCTTGTGTGTTTGGTGGCAACCCAACCCCTCTTCTAGTCCTGGCCTCAGTTCCTGAGTTCTGAATATTGCCATATTTACTAATGTCCTCTCCTTGACTGGACTAGGATTCTGGGATTATCCAGACAGCATACAACTTTATGCCCTCTTTCTCAGTCTAAGCTTATATATTGTAAATGTTTAGTGTTCCTGGGAGGTAAGTCTCTTAAGAAGAAAAATATGCTACTAGAGAACATAAAATTCCTCATTCCAAAAATATATACTGTCAGTAGCTTCTGAAATCTCTATACAGGCACCGTCCTTCCACATAGATGGCTGTTATCCCGAAGTAGTTTGAGTCTAGGAGTTTGAAGTATATACTGTTGGTCCTTAAATTTTTTTCATATAGCATCCCCATGGGGATTTGATCCTTTGTATTGAAATAGATTTGTTGCAGAGATGTGTATTTATCCACAGCATTGGGGCTTTCCAGCTTTCACAGAACCTTCAGCATCCCCAGCTACCAGCCTTGGCATCTTCGAAGTACGGAGAGGTGAGAATTCTGCTGCCTGGTCAAGTTTGGCTTGACTTCTTCCTTATGAGCATTTGAGCTTGGAGGGTGAGGGGTCGGGGCAGGTGCAGATTGTATTTGTGTGCAGCTTTTTCTAATAAGACACCTTATGCTCAAAAACCACTGAAACTTACCCAAAGTCTGTAAGTGTGAGAGTTGGAGGTAGGGTATTCAGATTCTCAAGTTCTGTCATGATTTCTTTGTGGGCATTTCTTGAAATCTACTTTAGGTTTAGAAAGGTTTAATAAGCTGGAATAGTTCTTTATTCTGAGAAATAAACATCTTTTTAAAAAAAATATATTTTATTGATTTTTTACAGAGAGGAAGAGAGAGAGATAGAGAGTTAGAAACATCGATGAGAAGAATCATCCATCAGCTGCCTCTTGCACACCCCCTGGCAACCAAGGTACATGCCCTTGACCGGAATCGAACCTGGGACCTTTCAGTCCGCAGTTCGACGCTCTATCCATTGAGCCAAACCGGTTTTGGCGAAATAAACATCTTTAGACAGTAGGAAGGAACACATTCATTTGACTTTTGTTAATACCTTTGGCCAAGGCCTTTGGGATTGTGGTTTAATTTGGGTTGTGAGTCACCTTTGGGTGGATGGTTAATCCCAGCCTATCTCCATTTTACACGGATTGAGGCTAGCTAAAAAGGTAGACTCCAATGATTGATATCCAGGATTTCAGAGGCTGTTTCTTTCATATCTAAGATTCAGACACTTTGCTAGGCCCTGGGATTGTGGTGCTAAATAAGATAGCTACTTCCCCTGATCAAAGAGTTTACAAATTCAAGGGGAAGACAGGTAGTAAACAATTATAATACACTCTGAGAGTGCTATAATAAGGTAAATGTAGATGCTTTAGGAGTACTCAGAAGGGTCCCTCACCCAAACTAATGGGCGAAGGGAAGGCTACTTAGAGGAAGTAACTTCCTTATCTCGAATTAGATAAAAACTTGAGGGACTAATGGTGAAGATCAGAGCTTTGTTGAATTTGAGAAACTGAAGTTTAATGTGATTGAAAGAGTACTCTGTGGGCAAGGGGTAGGAAAATATGGTGAGAAATGAAACAGGAAAGGTAAACAGAGGCCAGGACCTTAAAGATCAGAAGCAGATGGTGGGTAAGGGAAAAATTAGAAACTTTTTCTGTAAAGGACCAGTACATAGTAAGGCTTTGTGGGTCTCTGTCACAATCATTCGGCTCTACTCAACTCTACATGAAAGCAGACATACTACAAAAATGAATGATGTGGCTGTGTTCCAGTAAAATGTGTAAAAACAGCTAGATTTGGCCTGTAGGCCATGGTTTGCCAGCCCCAGAGCAAACTCTCAGAAGAGCTGTAAGAATTCATGAAATGGTATTAAGCAGTGGATTGATAATATCTGTTTTGGAAAGTTTGCTCTGGTTTCAGTGTTAAGAATGGGTCAAAGGAGACAATACTGAAGCACAGAGACCAATAAGGTGACTGTAGCAGTTACATGGGTAGCATTTTATATTTCCCTCTTTGAGGCAATATTTTGACACGTAAAGATTGAGTATAACTGAATCTTTGTATATATGTATACGGTATACTGTTCTCTTTCCAGATTTCCAGGCCACCTATTGGAGCTTAAAAGATGTCTACCAAAGAAGTTGTTGGTGATACCAGCTCCTATTTCACAGACTAGAAAAGATGTAGGAAGAGAATGTTGGTATCAAATGATAGAAAAGACTTTGGGAACTCTTTCCTATTTAAAGAAGTAGGAAATACATGGAGCCCTGGTAGAGATCTTGGTCTTAGGGCCTATAACTCAATGACAATTGCTTTGAATTTCTTGAACCGTACACACCGAGAACCACCCCTTTTCCTAAGCTTTCCAGGAATTGCCCTCATTATTGTCCTACTCAGTCTCTCCTTACTTGTGGCAAAATGATGCCCCTTTTTCTGGTTTCGGGAATGTTGCTTAGGCAGAGGGACCAATTGAAGTTGAGTGTTTGATGAATTGTTTCCTCCTCCTACAAGCCCCAGTGTACTCGCGTTGCTGAAGAGAAGCCTGTAGGTTTCTGATCAATGTTATGTGACCTTGGGTAAGTGACTTACCTCACTGAGTTTAGCTTTCCTACCTGTAAAATGGATAATGGAACTTACTAGGGTTGGTTAAAGGATTTAATGAGATACTATAATATATGTAAAGCTCTTAGTTCAGTGTATTTAACTTTTATTAAATAGTTGCAGAGATGTGTATTTAGTGTATAGTATTTTACACAATAATTTTTATAAAGCAGCCAGTAATTGGGTGAGTTGGCCCGTGGCTTAGTATATTTTGGGTCCTCCTTAGTATATTTTGGATTGTATTTGTGGCCATATGATAGAGATATAGACCCTGGCGGAGGTGAGGCCGTCAGCAGACAGGAGGAAGTTACAACTAAAGCAAGGCACTGCTCTTCATAATGGAACATTTTCAGAGAGCAGGAATCCCGTTTAGAATCCCAGAACTTTGTTCAGTGTGGACCTTAGTCCCCATACCATCAGTGAAGCGAATTGAGAGAGCAGCTACCCAAAGAAATTCACCGAAATGTGACCAGTCATCTCTCCCAGTCCGTCTGGATGCCTTTTATTACTTTTCACAACTCTAGAAAGTGGGTCAGGTGGTCAGCATTATTATCCCTGCTACCCATTGAGGAAACTGAGGCCCAGTAAGGTTAAGTGTGTTGCCCAAGGTCATGCTGTAAGGTATCGTGAGAGCTAGTGCAGATTTGCCTCCAGATGAAATTGTTAGTTTATTGCTGTGATTTCTCTTCCTTTGAGTCAGAGATGTGTAGTCACTGCAGAAATGTGTTCTGATGCATGTCTTATCCAGATATGCTAGGCTTAATTTGGGTCCTACTTTATACTCTTGGTCCTGTTGGATTTTAATTGATGGCTGCTAGGAACAGGCCTGTTGAGAAGCAGATTCCCTTTGGGTCATTGTTTTTAGCCCGTCCTCCTTTGGGGACATTCTTGGGGGAGCCTTGGGTTATAAGAGATTGCTTTGATATGTTCAAAATTGTGCCTTGTGCCCCACAGCTACAGGTAAAATCAAAAGGCGGATAATTTATGGGAGTGTCAGAGCTGGCCGCTGGCACCTCAGGAGGCCATTAGTATGCCTGTTCAGACCCTCTGTGTCCTTGCAATTGATTCCTCTTTGCATGAGCTTGATTTGGGAAGCTGTAGATCTGTGGTAGTGATTGGATGTGACAGTCCAAACACTGGTCCCTAAATTAATCCTTTTAATAGTATTCTGGCACCAAGGCAATGTTTCTCCCCTCTCTCTGAGAGGACAGAATGGGGTGGCTTAGGAGGAATGAGGGAGGAGTGGGGAGAGAAAGGGGGAGGAAAAGAAGCTTTGATTGGTACTTAGACACTGCTCTGCTCTAACGTGTTCTGATTCCAGCCCAGTTGACATTATGACTTTGGGCATATACATTCATTCAGCAAACATTGACTCTCACTTACTTGTTCCTGGCTCTGGACTGGGAATACAGAACTGACTAAGATGTGGCCCTTGCCCTTAAGGATCTATGTCTAGCTCAGTGTTTCTCATACTTATTAAACTCATGCACTATTAAGATGGAGAAAAATAACTTTATGCGTTTCTTTAATGCTGCTTGAAATTTTTAAATGCAGCAAAGAGTCTGACCAAAGACAAATCAAAGAATTATCATGTCAGATATTATTTTTATTTATTTATTTATTTATTTATTTATAATATATTTTATTGATTTTGTACAGAGAGGAAGGGAGAGAGATAGTTAGAAACATCGATGAGAGAGAGAGTCATCGATCAGCTGTCTCTTGCACACCCCTTACTGGGGATATGCCTGCAACCAGGGTATATGCCCTTGACTGGAATCGAACCCGGGACCCTTCAGTCCCCAAGCCGACGCTCTATCCATTGAGCCAAACCAGTCTCAGCTCAGATATTATTTTAAACACACATACGTGCGCACACACACACACACACAACTATACCTACTATATTCTATCCTCACCTTCTTCCTGAAAATGGCTGATAGGAGGAGAAACAGATAACTAAAATCTTATAATCTAGTGAGATAAAAGTTATTGAATAAGGATAAACTGTGCTATTGGATCACTTAACTTTATGATGGTGCCAGAGAAAGCTCCCCAAAAGGAGAGATTTGCGTTGGATTTTGAGGAAGGAGCAATAATTTATCTGGTGAAAATAGAAGTACATTTTAAAACAGAGGAAGGAGCATTTGCCAAGGCACAGATTTGTAAAAGAAAACATCTCATTTGGGGAACTGAGCAAGAGCTGATTATCACCTTGCCTCCTGCCAGTTTCTCTGCTCTGTGAGATGGGAGGATTTGCTCCTCTGGAATTGTTGTAGAAGAGGCTTTGTGCTCCTTGTGCTGCGGTTGTTTTAATCCAGGGCACCCCTTCCTCTTTCTGCTTTTTGTATGCAGGCTGCAATGTGTTTTTCTTGTTAGAATATATTTAAAAATTGTTACAAAAACAAATTTGGATGAATTGGACAAACTTAATTATTGCTTGTGGTTGAATTATTTTGAGTGAAAGCCACACCTTATCTCCAAAAAAACAAAACAAAACACACTGAAGTGGATATGCATTGCTAGCCTTATGGCTGGCTGATGGGGGAATCAGTCCAGTGGGGAAAATGGGCCGTCAAGCATGGGAGAGGAGAACAGGACCCGAAGTGCCTCTGAGCCTTAATTTTCTCATATATAAAGTGATATAAAGTGGTAATACTGTTCCCCATTTTGCTGGATAGTTGAAAGGATGAAATGGGATGAAATTTGTAAATTCCTAATAATGAGCCTGTCTTACAGTAAATTTTCAGAAAATGTTGTTTTCCTTTTCTCTTTATCATGTTAACAGCAATGGCTCTCTTTTACTGAGCACTTACTGTTGTGCAAAGTACTTTATATACATTGCATGTCTACATCAAACCCCTAATAGATAAGTATTTTTATAG